ACACACCATAATAATAATAAAAATACTAATACACCATACTGCACTGTCTTGGTTATCATCAACCCAAGAGTAATCACTGAGTACGTGTTAATTATCCTCTATCTTTGGAAAAAAATAGTGACATTGTATTGATTAAGTTTCTGTTTATATCTAACCTAACCAAACCAAACCTAACCTAACCTAACCAAACCAAACCTAACCCGGAAGATCTTACACTGGGATGCGTATACGTGTAACCTTGTTTCCCGAGTACTCCAAGTTCTACCCCCACGAGGTGATTACATACAAAGACAATAACATAATGATAACAGTAGGCGGTGTTATCCTGGACACCTGATGTCATGGTTGAACTTTGCACGTGTGTGTTGAAGACTCACTGGTACATCAACAGCTGCTGCCCCCATATTGTCCTGCTAGTCGATATCTCATTTTCGCAATGTTTACTGGACCTTTCCACTAATTGAGCTGTTTGAATCATGATATATCTTAACTAAATATCCTGTTATGGACCTTGTATGCCAGTGACACGTGAGTTAGTACAGCTGACCTCCTGATTGTGTGTGTGTAGCTGTGGTCGCCTGGCAGTGTTCCACCCTCGGCCGCACAACATGAGCCAGGACCGCCTTGTTTGGGAGTCTACAGGGGGAGAGTTGTCAAGCAGTGAGGCTGAGCTGCTCCATACATCACACCTAAAGACTTTCTCTGACTCGCTCGTCTCTCCTTCAGATATATCACTCAACGGATCTCATGAAATTTACGAACCACAGCTTATTTCACCTTAGTGATTAAATACCCTAATTGTTTCGGTAGGGTTGTCAAAATCGTAAACCTATTTTTTTTATAGCGGCGAGTGTTTTAGTACAAGAACCTGACGACCTACGAAAAACAACTCTCACCAGTGTTGCTATTCGACCTTCAACTCAGACGAACTCCTACAGTAGATAGAGACGGAACGTATGAGTCAGGCACCCTCGGTACCTACCTAACCCACGTCCTCACTCACCTGACTCTACAAAAAAAAACTCACTTCTTACATAAGCTTTTGACCTTTCACCTCACTACACCAAAAGCGTAAATTATCTGAGTCTTATCAATTGCTCGTTCAGTTTAGTGGACATCCCCCAGAGGTACTTGTTCTGATAGGGTGTGGCGTCATGTGTACGAGTAGTGAGCCAGACTAACACAGACGTCAGGTGTACGAGTAGTGAGTCAGACTAAAACAGACGTCAGGTGTACGAGTAGTGAGCCAGACTAACACAGACGTCAGGTGTACGAGTAGTGAGTCAGACTAAAACAGACGTCAGGTGTACGAGTAGGTGAGTCAGACTAACACAGACGTCAGGTGTACGAGTAGTGAGTCAGACTAAAACAGACGTCAGGTGTACGAGTAGTGAGTCAGAACAACACAGACGTCAGGTGTACGAGTAGAGTCAGGAACAACACAGACGTCAAGGTACGAGCAGGAGTCAGAACAACACAGACGTCAGGTGTACGAGTAGTGAGTAAGACTAAAACAGACGTCAGGTGTACGAGTAGTGAGTAAGACTAAAACAGACGTCAGGTGTACGAGTAGTGAGTAAGACTAAAACAGACGTCAGGTGTACGAGTAGGTGAGTCAGAACAACACAGACGTCAGGTGTACGAGTAGGTGAGTCAGAACAACACAGACGTCAGGTGTACGAGTAGTGAGTCAGACTAAAACAGACGTCAGGTGTACGAGTAGTGAGTCAGAACAACACACAGCCAAACACCGAAGTTAATAGGTCGCATAAACAACACTGGAATTCGTGCAAACAATAAACGGAGGGACATAGTATGTTTGTTAAATGTGCAAACAAGCCAAATGGTTGGAAATAGGCTGGAACAAAGTTAACATCGGAACATTATCATAAACACGACAGACTGTTGAACTATTCTATTAACTGCTGTGTGAGGATTTTACCCCATTAGAGATACGAGGGGAAGACCTCAAAGAAAACGGAGGAAAATGAGGCACAAATTTATATATTGATGTGAAAGGCAGTCATATATAAACACATGTACGCATGTATGTGTGTGTGTGTGTGTGTGTGTGTGTGTGTGTGTGTGTGTGTGTGTGTGTGGAGAGATGAATCATCACTCCTGGTGTGTTGACTCTGCCTTGAGCCCCTCGTTACCATAACCTGTCCTGACACCCCCCCCCTCCCCACCCACCCACCCTTCCCCCTCACCTCCACCCAACAACACCTTCCACCCCTCACCCCCCTACCCCCCTCCTTCAGCACAAACGTTCATAAACAGTTTACAGAGACCAAGCGTAATATCTGCGTACTGATATCGTTCTCAAATCTCTATATATTGATGTTTCTGAAGTAATAAGAAAATGTAAATAGATCAATGGCCCTCGTAAATTGGTTAAGGATAGTCTGGCTAATTAATTATGGTAAAGGTCTGTCTGGGTAACATTATCCTATATTGGTTGTCATCTTCGTCATAAGTGAAGAATGGTGGCAAGTAATCTAAATTTTCCTGCCCAGTGCTTGTCCTGTTCTGTTCTGCTCTCGAAAGCAAGACATGTTTGAATACGTGGCCACAAATATCTCACAAATATATCCTGTGTGTGTGTGTGTGTGTGTGTGTGTGTGTGTGTGTGTGTGTGTGTGTGTGTGTGTGTGTGTGTGTGTGTGTGTGTGTGTGTGTGTGTGTGTGTGTGTGTGTGTGTGTGTGTGTGTGTGTGTGTGTGTGTGTGTGTGTGTGTGTGTGTGTGTGTGTGTGTGTGTGTGTGTGTGTGTGTGTATCATATGTATAGTGTGAAAAGTGAAGGGTGACAGCTGGTTCTGGTGGCAGACAACATGACAGGTCGTGGTAGACTAGAGGCAGACAACATGACAGGTCGTGGTAGAGGCAGACAGTATATGGCACGATGAGAGCCTAACACCTCGAGAAGCTAGCCCATAAACCAACCCAAATTACACCAACAAACTTCAACATTAACCTCCAATAAAATCTATCATATAAAAATAATAAGCATGTAAACAGTAAACACCAACTATAGACAGATAAGATGTTAAGATAAGACATGATAACACATCGTATGATAATCTGATAATCGATATGGGTCACAGTTGACATTAATCAGCTATCAGCAGACGTATTTACAGGAGCCATTCTCGTGTCAACATTAAAACACTTTTAGAGGTCAATACTTGTGGGAGGGAGGGAGAGAGGGGAAGAAGGGAGGGAGGGAGAGGAAGGAAAAGAGAAAGAGAGAAAGAGAGGGAGGGAGAAAGGAAGATAGGGAGAGAGGAAGGAAAGGGGGGGGAGGGAGGAATGTAGGGAAAGGGTGGAGGGAGCAAGGTAAGGAAGGAGGAAGGGGGAGAGGGGCGTGATACCTGAGACATTGAAATAAAAATGCCACAAGAGTAAATTGATGAAAGATCCCCCGACATTGAAAGCCTTGGACGAGGGCCAAGCGTTGAGTCACACCTAAGTTTACTAAGCTGCCCTTCATTAGTCTTGTGGGGCCCACAGCTTAAACTGACTCCATCTGAATTCCTGAAAAAGTGTTCGGCCAAGACAAAATCTACAACGCATCTACGTACACTAAAATGAATCCCTATAACTCACATATCTTTTAATACGACGAACAACGCGAGCATCTTAGAAAACGTAATTAAAAAGAATATCAGTACAAATGAGAAATAAGTACAGTTAAGTAGAATTAAAGTGAGAGAATCATATACAGATACGTGACGTCTCAACCTATAGATGCTGTGAACTATTGTAACTTAAAAGGTCTTATACAAACTATAAGTGAACGAACCTCCTTCATTATCACCTGAAACAAAAGAGAATCAAATCATCAGGTCGTTGTCTTAACCCTAAATTAAAGGTACCTTAATATAAAAAAAAAATATAAATTTAGTCGTAATACACAGATTAAGAACTTCGTTTCAAACTTCTCTTGAACACAATGAACGTTATAATGAAGGTGGCGCCTTAACCCTGATAAGTTAGGTTAGGTTAGGTGGCGCCTTAACCCCCTGATAAGTTAGGTGGCGCCTTAACCGCCTGATAAGTTAGGTTAAGTTAGGTGGCTCCTTAACCCCCTGATAAGTTAGGTTAAGTTAGGTGGCGCCTTATCCCCCAGATAAGTTTGGTTAGGTTAGGCGGTGCCTTAACCCCCTGATAAGTTAAGTTAGGTTAGGCGGCGCCTTAACCTTGATATATTTAGAAATATACCTAAAAATTCCTTTAACCTTGTGGTATACCGAGGGGGGGGGGGTCACCTGGCAGGGGCTACACACTTCCCTCATCTCTTAAGGTCGCACTATCACCGAGATGCCTGCCACCACTGTTTGCTGTTACGACCTTCTCGTGGGAGGCGGCCATCACCGTATATGTGGACGGTGTGGGCGGGATGTATCATGGTAACTTGACTGTGTAGGTGTACACGGTGTGGGCGGGGTGGGGTGTATGGGTTGACACAGCGTAGACAGAGTGGGCTGGGTATATGGGGTCTACATAGCGTGGGCAGGATGTATGGGTCGACACAGCGTGGGTGGGGTTTATGGGTCTAGACAACGTGGACAGGTGTTTCAAGGCGGGGTAGATGTGGGCGTAGTCACTGTCTTGCAGATTACAAGAGTATATAATTATACCATCTCTTATTTTGGGATAATAGGGACAAATTTACATTCTTATATATATATATTGTTTGTGGTGTGTGGTGATAAAATATGTAGCACCACCACCACCACCATCCCCAACATCACCACTACTACCACCAACAGAGAGGAATGAAGGCCCAGTATTCCTATACACACTCTCACGCCTGACCCCTTCACACCGAGTCCCCCCTCAACATACACTCCCCAGCGTGGCACCTGACGTATATTTACTGACGTATCTATTAAGGTGTTAAGTGATGGTGGTGGAGAATTTACTCAAAATATCGATGTATTTATTGGTGTAGAAGTGAAGTACTGAGGCTGGAGGCTGACCTGTGTATTGTGTTACAGCTGGTGATGGACGTGGAGGAGTATGTACAGGGAGAGATCGAGGTGCTGCAAGACGACAAGCACTTGACGGTAAAGGGCCGCCTCTCAACCACCCAACGCGGCAATACCACCACCAGGACCTTCAACAGGAACTTCCACATCCCCAAGAACACCCGCGAGGAGGACATCGACTCGGCTCTCTCCAAAGATGGCATCCTCACCGTCTATGTCCCCAAAAAGGTTAACATATCTTCATCTCATACAAAGTAGGAAAACAATTTGGATCACGGATTAGTCACACCGCAGCTCACTTCACCTGGATTATTCAAACAACCTAACTCTGCCTAGAGAGAGTTAGGTTAGGTTATATATTATTTTAAAATACCCTTGATTAGGTTAGGTTAAGTTAGATCATGTTAGCTTAAGTTAGATCATGTTAGGTTAAGTCAGACCATATTCGATTAAGTTAGATCATGTTAGGTTAGATTAGGTTAGGCCAAGTTTATCTTTACGTTATTTATCTAATGGACACCCACTAGGTGGCCATGCCAAGGGAAGGAACGCAGTGGCCTGTGTAGGATCCCCCCATTGTTCTTGATAATTATGTAAGGGCTATTTTGAAGCTCAGCACGACGCTTCATTCCACAGCCTGGGCCGGTAGACCGTTCCATAGGTCTACCAGCCTCTGCGTGAATAAGTATTTCCTTAATGTTGTTCTGTATGATAGCTTGACGAGCTTCTAGTTATGTCCTCTCGTGTTGGTGGTGTGTGACAAAGAAATGTCCCGGGTTCACGTTTTCCATCCCTTTCAGGATTTTCAATCTTTCAATGAGATCTGCCCTGTTGTGTTTTGTCTGAAGGGTTGTTAGTCCTATGGCCCTCACTCTACTGGGATAATTGAGATGACATAGTTCCGGAATCATCTTAGTCGTTCTGTGTCACATCTTTTCTAAGGATGTTGGATTTTTCTGGAGGTAGGGCTTCTATGTCCCTATACAGTAATCCAGACTGGGATGCATTTGAGATTTAAACAGTTGAAGGAACATTTTTCTTACCTTTCTATTCGAAGGTACACTTTATAATTTCCAAATCTCGGTTTGCTTTGCTCACTGCTGCCCCCACTTATTGCGCCGCCTTCAGTGACTGACCTAGCACAACGCCTACAGATCTTTCTCCTTATCGACAGTATCCGGGAAAAGTGTTAATAGAATAGTTGTGGTTAGGGTTGTTGTATCTTATTGTTGTGTTAGGTTAGGTTAGGTTAGGGTGTTTAATCTTTAGGTAATATAAGCTGGGGGTGTCTTATTTTCAGGTGACCGACATCATGTATTATTAAGCAAGTCACAGATACGTACACACACACACACACACACACACACACACACACACACACACACACACACACACACACACATACACAAATACATGCACAGATACATACACATAAACACACAGATATATACACACACACACACACATATACACAGACACTGATACATAGAGATACATGAGGCTGTTAGGAGAGGATACATGAGGCTGCGTGTGTGTGTGTGTGTGTGTGTGTGTGTGTGTGTGTGTAAGGTGTGTGTGTGTGTGTAGGTATAAAGAAGAAAAAGTAACAGACATACAGGTATAGATGGTCAATTAGATATTACAGGTGTATCCCTACAGTACAGTACAGTATATCACATCCATCCCAGGTAACACACACTAATGAAGGTGTCGTGACCAACCTGAGTCAAGATGATACTAACCTTGAACACCGACCCTCCATCCTCAAACACACCATCAAAGTTTATTTTCTTTTTCTGTATAGGACTAAGTTTTTATGCCACTAACTCTCTTTCTTTACATTTACAGAAGGAGAGGGTGATCAAAATACAGTTGACGGACTAGGAAGAGAAGAAGAAGAGAGAGAGAGAGATAAAGAAGGACTAGGGGATAACGAGGAACCTCCACATCACTATTTACTCTCTTGCATATCTGACTCCTCCAGTATCCTCACACCTTCATCTCCTGTTTGCTACACCTGACCGTCACCTCAGATACCCCCCCCCCCTCCTCCTCCCCTCACTCCAAAGGCATCACGGCGGTAACCTCCATATCTCGGATCCATGTTACCAGAGGTGGTGCATCGCTCAAGCCTGGGGGGGGGGACTACTGTACACGTCTTGTTGTATAGTTCCTTATATATGTTGACATGGAGTTATTGGTTCTCTTCACACCACACACCGTACCACACTGCACCACACCACACCACACCACAGCTGCTGGGTATGATGACTGCCCACTACACTACACACCCTTTAGAAGACTACAGTACGTACAAGCCTACGATAACGAATACAGCTAAAGGACTATGAGATCACCTGACACCCCTATATGAGGACTACAAGACACCACCAATAAAAGTGTAGATCTACCAGAAAGCTACAGTACCAGCCTACAAGAAGACCAGTGTGTGTGACGAGGAGAGAGAAGAGACAGGAGGTAGCAGGTAGCAGGCTAGATCAGTGCGCTTCCCTCCCCCCACAACTGAACCATAAGTGTTGGTACAGTGTATGTGCTATGTGACACTTTGCTACTCAACACAACAAATTTCTGTATATACATGAGTTATCAGAAAAAATGATTTATAATTGTAAGATAACAAAATTGGGTATAGTGTAATATTATACGTATGAACTGTGTGTATATATAAAATTCAGTGAGATGAAAAAAAAAGTGTTAATGGTGGATTATAGAATATGGACTTAACGTGTATGTTCATCGAATCCAAACTCAGGACATTTCTGAAGCTGTGTTAATGAAAAATCTTATTGGCTGATGAGAACAGGGTGAGGGTGAGGTGTGTAGTGCTGTAATGTGGAGGAGAGTCCACCACACCCCCTCATTACACCAATACGTCCCTCACTTCTCCACCACCTCCCTCACTACCACCAGCACCACCACGCTCTCACCCCCACTACGCCCTTACCCCTCCAACACGCCCCTCACTCCACCACCACCACCACCACCCCCTCACCCAACCACCACACCCTCACCACCACCACCACACCCTCACCCCAATCACCACACCCTCACTACCAACCACCACACCCTTACCCCACCACCACGCCCTCACCACCAAGTCATTTACAGTCGACTCCACACGTGCCTTCTTCACACAAGCTACTAATGGATTGCCTTACTACTGTATACATGATCCACCTCAGCTTGGTGGATCATACGGCTGGCCTCCTGGTGGTGATTCGACCGACGCCTTTGTTTACGCGCGTGACGTCAGAAGTTGTTGGTAGTTGCCTTCGTAGTTGTCTTTAAGTCTTTCAGCCTCACGTGCCCCGCCGCCGCCTCACCATTCACTACTGACCGTCTTTAGCATAAAATGTATAGTATTTTTGTATAAGCGTTATAAAGAACAACACTAAACGACACCATCACTAACGTCTCCATGCTGTGTGACGACACCACCTCATAAGATGTCAATTTCTTAAGTATTATCACCGCCTTAAGTGATGTCATTATTTTATATGACGTCACAGCCTATTTGCCATCAATTTGACGTCATCGTCAAATGTAAACATCACCTCATATGACGTCACCGCCTTTTGTAAACATCACCTCATATGACGTCATAGCCTTTTGTAAACATCACCTCATATGACGTCATAGCCTTATGTAAACATCACCCCATATTTCGTCACCGCCTTAGGTAAAATCTTCCCCTAGAATATGTGGTGAGCAGAGAGTCACTAGTGAGTAATTAAGTGAGTGTAATGAGTGGTGGTAGTGGTGAGGGAAGCTGTAACCCAGACAGTGCCATCCATCATCAACACCCTCGCTGTCATTAATCCTGGCACTAATAACTAAAAAAAAAATATATATATAATCATCATCATCATCTCCATCATTAGACTTTTAGTAGTTAACCCAATTTTTTTTCACCTCCACGTGATGATGAAACCAGTGTTGATATTACGTCTATAACTGTCGTCTTGTTGTAATAGAACTCATTAGTCACTTAAATTTCTTTTTACATAACTTTGATATACTCATTTGATACATTGAAAAAGATGTTTATATTTTTGTGACTTATTAAATCATATTCATTTTTTATAGTGTAGACTCAGTAAGTACTTTTATATGTTATTAAAAATTTAGAATACTGTACTGTACATTGAGTATGTACTTAATTTTGTATGTTACATTACCATTAGGGTAAATAATCCTGGACGCGAGACATTGACTTCTAAACTACAGTACGTGTGTCCAGGAGTTTGAGCTAGTCACATAGTACATAAGAAGCTTAAACTATATATACAGTGTAAGGAACCGTATTGGAAAACCTGTCACGTTGCTCCCACGGCGTCACGCTCTCACACCAAGAGTTATTTCTGGGTGTTTAAGGGCCGAAGACATTGACCTGACCTGACCTGACCTGACCCTGGGTGTCTATTATTCATATTTCAGGTCGTGTGAATCTTCCTAACCACTCCACTGTCTTAAGCAACGGTACGACTATTAGTGGATATAGGTGTGTGTGTGTGTGTGTGTGTATGTGTGTGTGTGTGTGTGTGTGTGTACTGTGTGTGTGTGTGTGTGGGTATGTGTGTGTGTGTGTGTGTGTGTACTTTTTAGGTATAGCACCAGCCAGCCCAGGTGAGGTACCAACCTGAGCCACACAGGTGAGTGTTTAAGGGGATGGCAGGTAACAAGGCCGATAGACTGGAAGGCTGACAGGTACTGACAAGTTAAAAGGAAGGGACTAGGAAGCAGTGAGATGTTGGGGGAAGGTGAGAGACAAGAGTGAGGGATGTGAGAGAAGTGAGAGAGATGAGAAATTAGGAGGAAGGGAATTGAGAGGCAAGAAGAGTAGAGGCGATGGAAAGAAGCAGCAGCTGTGTGTAGATAAATTATGGAGTTGTTTTATCCACTACCATCACCAATAATAACAATAATAATAATAATTCACCTCCACGTGTATAGCAATAATGTGTTGTGCCTCGGGTGTAGCTCTTTGTTTTTCACGCTTTTGGTCAAATAATAATATTGTATTGTTTACTAAGTGCCTCATACGTACTGTGATGTCTTGATAAAAAAAATAGCTCCATGTTAATATGCTTATAACTCCAAACTGATGGGTGTCCTTGTCTGTCACTGCACAGTATTTAATAAAATATATTCATGGGTGTTTACATTTTTTTTTCTCAACCATCTTGTTTATTTTATGATGACCACAAGTTATACACAATTTTTACTGGCAGCGCTCTTGTCTATACAGGTATACCATCAATATACATAGACTGTGCAAGTATACCATCAATATACATACAGTGCAAGTATACAGAGATAGAGAACAAATCGACTCAAAGAAAGACGGTCAACAAGGCCACCATAAAATGTAATTAAACCTGCAATACAGATAATAAGTTACCCAGTAGAACGATCTAATATATTTCAGGTGTGTAACTTAATTAAGGGCCGTCTTATATCACAAGAGCCTTAGTAGTTAATGAAGAAGACTTACAGGGAGATTTTGTTTTTTTTAAGTTTTCAGGGAACATCTGACGGATCATCTGAAGATTAGACACTCCACCTCATTATTTACCTCATGATTAAACACCTTAGCGGTAACCTAACATAACCTTTAACCTAATTTAACCTAATTTATCCGTAACTTAACAAACCTAACCTAATCTCACCTATCCTATTCTGAGCTAATCCCCCCCCCAGGTAACATTAGGTGTAACAAGCTAGTGTCTAATCTTCAGGTAATCCCATGTCGTCACCAGCTGCGTACTGTGTCGTGTGATGATATGAACTGATACCGAAAGAAAATAAACATACATAAATAAATAAATAAATAAAGGAGATAAAGGGTAATAGGTCAGAGATAATGTTTGTTTATCTTAATAACGAGAGAGAGAGAGAGAGAGAGAGAGAGAGATATATGACTGGTTTCTTATCGACCTTGTGTAAGTTAGTCATAAAGGCCTTATTAGCAGCAATAATGGAGGTTGGGAGGGAGGGAGGTATGGGTGAGAGGGGAGGTGGAGAGGGGGAGGTGGGAGAGGGGAGACGGGGTGTTGAAGGAAGGAAGAAAAAATAAACCTTGTCCCTGTCACCTCTAACTTGTGGTATATGTGTCAAATGAGTCAACCCGCCTCGCCCTCTCTCTCTCTCTCCCTCCTAACAGTCCAGTCACATATGAGTATAGTTTGTCGCCTGCCACCAGGGACCACAAGGAACCCCCGCACACACACACACACACACACACACACACACACACACACACACACACACACTACTGTATGTCATGGCCTTAATATCCATCACTCACGCTTTCTCTGTTGAATATTCTTGTTTCTTCCTTTAAAATGAGAATCTCAAATTAGATGGCCACACCACATCTATATTATGGCCACACTGCATCTATATTATGGCCACACCACACCCACACCATGACCACACCACACCATGACCACACCACACCACACCCACACCAATAGAATGACAACTGAGACAAATGAAACGATGCTGTAACTTATCCCAGGAGTGTACAGTACAGGTTGGTGAAGGCTGTTACTGCAGGCTAGGAACGCGTCTCAGTAACACCAGGGGGTAACTTAAGTATCTTGGCATATATTACAGTGTGTAGTAGGTGTTTGATGCTCCCCTTCCCCCCTTCACCACAACTACCTGAGATCATCTTGACGAAGTGAAAGTCAGGGGCAGTGCGGATATAGCACACGGAATACTAAGCTTCGGTACACAAGGACGCAGCGTGGCCAGTACTAACCCAACCACTTTCTCTTCCACTAACAGAAAAATCAGGTACACTATTCTCAGAGGGGTCGACTTGGGGTGCCCCATTTACTGCCCAGCTGCTGGTCCCGTAAATCGTTAATTAAACAATAATGTTATCACGAACGTAAATCCCCACACACACACACACACGTTACAATGAGTCAACTAGAATATTCATTTGCATCTTTTTCAAGTGCTGCCTTTTCCATAACTCTCACAAGCCTCTATCATCGGGTGGAGAGATCAAAGACTCGCTCGTACACTTGATAATATGCAAATCCTATACGAATATTCCTCTCTCGTACGGCCTTGATTGTGCCAGTGTCGTGAAGTGTTGTGTTAAACCGTAGCTGCTGCTCACTTGACCTCCTTCACCAGTTATCTTACTTCTAGTCTTATACGCCTCCTACGGTGCCTCACATCCTAGGGGGTCTCACCGTCAGGCAGGTGCTGGGTATCTACAGGTTCTTCTCTGCACCTAAACATACTGTACACCAACGCTGGTCTTGCCTGAATTTATAGGGAGTTCATACTTGGTGCTGCCACAAAACTCACTGAGAACGTCAGCTTATTTCACGCGATGATACAACACCCTAATGCTAACCTAACCTAACCTAACCTAACCTAACCTAACCCTCCCACAGGTAACATTAGGGTATTTAAAGGTGAAATTAGTTAGGGGCCTAATATCCATGTGAGCCCTGAGTATGATATTGTCCATGGTCGGTAAGAATTGTAGATAGATAGATAGATAGATAGATAGATAGATAAAGATATTTGTTCCGTAAAATCGCATGGTCTTAAAAAACTAATCACGATGTTTCAGCCACCAGAGACGAGACCTCCCACGTCACTCACACAGACAACTAAACGTAACACCCTGTAAGTAATTTTTAAGTATTTGTGGGTTTGGTGTAAGTCATGGGTGGAGCGGAGGGTGAGGTGCGGTTATGGGGGCGGCGGGCGTGACTACCAATGTGTGGTGGGGAAGTCCGGAGCGCCACACACACACACACACACACACACACACATATATTTCATCCTGGATAAACAGGGCCCGGCTTGCACAACCTCCTCATTATTTCAGGCCCCATGTTGCTTCAACCTACCAACAATAATCATTAGTTAGTTTGTTTCTGTATAATTCCTGTGCATTTTGTTCTGAAGTAATACAACAATTTCAATATTTAACTATAACGCTTCTAAACCGCGTCTAATACTTTTGTATTATCGATTTTCAAAAGCTGAGCCCTTGTATGAAAGTAAGTCTTTGTTTATACTGAGCAGCAGCGGCGGCAGCGGCAGCACCCTCAGCCACGTGTCACGCTGCACCAAGTGGCGCCCTGCGTCTCCCGCCCTGACGAATATTGCGGAGGAGTGGGGGGGGGGGGGGCAATATTCGGATTCAAGGGTGTTCAGAGTGTACGGCCAAACAGGGCCACACATTTTGAGGGTACCTACATTTTCGGGCCACCCAATTTTAAATACAGAAACAAAAATTGAAAAGCTAGATCCTTCTTTAGGGTTAGGGTAATCAATGTTAGTTTCAGGGCTTTTTACTTATGTTTTAGGATAATCATAGTATCAGTCCCCAAATTAAAATTTGCTTGTGGGTGTGTTACTAAAAACTAAATATTATGGGCCTCAGGCCACCAAATGACTGAACTGCACAGGCTCTCCTTAGGCCTAAATCTGGCGCTGCCCCTCCCCCCACACCAATCTATTCCCGCTGACTTTTGATTGTCAAAACTAAAGCATTTAGTTCATATTCTTTATACAGCAATCTTTGTACCACAAGTTATTTATTCAAATAAATTATATCAGTAAGGTCTATAAAATGCCGCTAAACAATAACAAGTCCTATATAAATTCAGCTCCGTGAATCTGAGAAAACCGATTTAGTTTCCTATAATAACAACACGGAGGAAACTGTGGAATGTGAGTGGCGGTGTGGCGTGGCGCCACCTCTGACGCCACACCGCACCAACACCCTGCCCCTGGTAACATCGACCGCGCCACAGCACACCATCGCCCTAGTAACATTTGACTCTCTACGACACACCACCACCCCTCTACCAGACCTTGGGCCTATACCCCTCTACCAGACCTTGGCCCTATACCCCTCTACCGGACCTTGGCCCTATACCCCTCTACCAGACCTTGGGCCTATACCCCTCTACCAGACCTTGGCCCTATACCCCTCTACCAGACCTTGGCCCTATACCCCTCTACCAGACCTTGGCCCTACCTCTACCAGACCTTCCTACCCCTCTACAGACCTTGCCCACACCCCCACCAGACTTGCCCCTATACCCTCTACGACCTTTACCCCCCAGACCTTGGCCCTATACCCCTCTACCAGACCTTGCCCTATACCCCTACCAGACCTTGGCCCTACACCTCTACCAGAGACTCCGGTCTCATACCCCCACCGGACCTTGGCCCTATACCCCCTACCAGACCTTGCCCCATCCTCTACCAGACCTTGGCCCTATACCCCTCTACCAGACCTTGCCTCTATACCCCCTACCGGACCTTGGCCCCATACTCTACCAGACCTTGGCTCTATACCCCCTCACCAGACCTTGGCCCTATCTCACCAGACCTGCTTACCCCTCACCAGACCTTGGCCCTATACCTCACCAGACCTTGGCCCTATACTCCCACCGGACCTTGGCCCTATACCCCCTACCAGACCTTGGCCCCGCACCTCTACCAGACCTTGGGCCTATACCCCTCTACCAGACCTTGGGCCTATACCTCTACCGGACCTTGGCCCTATACCCTCTACCAGACCTTGGCCCTATACCTCTCTACCAGACCTTGGCCCTATAATTCTCTACCAGACCTTGGCCCTATACCCCTACAGACCTTGGCCCTACACCCTCTATCAGACCTTGGGCCTACCCCTCACAGACCTTGGCCCTATACCTCTACCAGACCTTGGCCCTAATCTCTACCAGACCTTGGCCTATAATTTCTACCAGACCTTGGCCCTATACCCCCACCAGACCTTGGCCCTATACCCCCCTACCGGACCTCCATCCCTATAACCCCTCTACCAGACCTTGGCCTCACCTCTACCAGACCTTGGGCCTATACCTCTACCCCCAAGACCTTGGCCCATACCCCCACCAGACCTTGGCTCTATACCCCTACCAGACCTTGGCCCTATACCCCTACCAGACCTTGGCCCATACCTCTACCAGACCTTGGCCCTATACCCCTCTACCAGACCTTGCCCTATACCCCCACCAGACCTTGGCCCTATACCCCCTCTACCAGACCTTGGCCCTATACCTCTACCAGACCTTGGCCCTATACCCTCTACCAGACCTTGGCCCTATACTCTACCAGACCTTGGGCCTATACCTCTACCAGACCTTGGCTCTATACCTACCAGACCTTGGCCCTATACCCCTACCAGACCTTGGCCCTATAACCCTCTACTCAGACCTTGGCCCTATACCTCTACCAGACCTTGGGCCTATACCCTCAATGACCTGGCCCTATACCCCTCTACCAGACCTTGGCCCTATAATCTCTACCAGACCTTGGCCTACCCCTCACCAGACCTTGGCCTATACCCCTACCAGATTGGCCCTATACTCCACCAGACCTTTGCCCTATACCTCTACCAGACCCCACCAGACCTTGGCCCTATAATCTCTACCAGACCTTGGGCCTATACCCCTACCAGACCTTGGCCCTATAATTCTCTACCAGACCTTGGCCCTATACCCCTACCAGACCTTGGCCCCCCCTAGACCTGGCCTATACCTCTACCAGACCTTGGCCCTATAATTCTACCAGACCTTGGCCCTATACCCCTACCAGACCTTGCCTATAATCCTCTACCAGACCTGGGCCTATACCCCCACGACCTCTCTATACCCTCTCACGACCTTGGCCCTATAATCCTCTACCAGACCTGGCCCTATACCCCCTACCAGACCTTGGCCTATACCTCTACCAGACCTTGGCCCTATTCTACACCTTGGCTATACCCTCTACCAGACCTGGCCTATACCCTACTGACCTTCTATACCCCTTACCAGACCTTGGCCCTATACCTCTTACCAGACCTTGGCCCTATAACTCTACCAGACCTTGGCCCTATACCTCTACCAGACCTTGGGCCTATACCTCTAACGGACCTTGGCCCATAATTTCACCAGACCTTGGCCCTATAACCTCTACCAGACCTTGGCCCATACCCCTCTACCAGACCTGGCTCTATACCCCCACCAGACCTTGGCCCTATACTCCCTTCACCAGACCTTGGGCCTATACCCCTCTACCAGACCTGGCTCTATACCCCTACCGACCTGGCCCTATAATTCTCTACCAGACCTTGGCCCTATAATTTCACCAGACCTTGGCCCTATAACTCTCTACCAGACCTTGGCCCTATAACTCTACCAGACCTTGGGTCTATACCCTCTACTCAGACCTTGGGCCCATAATTCTCTACCAGACCTTGGCCCTATACCCCCTACCAGACCTTGGCCCTATACCCCTACCAGACCTTGGCCCTATACCTCTACCAGACCTTGGCCCCATACCCTCTACCAGACCTGGCCCTATAACACCTACCGACCTTGGCCCTATACCTCTACCAGACCTTGGCCCTATACCCCCACCAGACCTTTGGCTCTATACCCCACTAACTTTGCCCTATAATTCTACCAGACCTGCCCTATACCCTCCATCCCCACTAGACCTTGGCCCTATACTCCCTACCAGACCTTGGGCCCTATACCCCCTACCGACCTTGGCCCTATACTTTCCACAGACCTTGGCCCTATACCTCTACCAGACCTGGCCCTATACCCCCCTACCAGACCTTGGCCCTATAACCTCTACCAGACCTGGCCCATAATTCTCTCTACCAGACCTTTGGCCCACTCCCACCAGACCTGGCTCTATACCCCTACCAGACCTTGGCCCTATACCTCTACCAGACCTGGCCTATAATCTCTACCAGACCTTGGCCCTATACCCCTACCAGACCTTGGCTCATACCCCACCAGACCTTGGCCCTATATCTCTACCAGACCTTGGCCCTATACCTCTACCAGACCTTGGCCCATACCCCTACCAGACCTGGCCCTATACTCCCCTACGACCTTGGCCCTATACCCCCCACCAGACCTGCCCATACCCTCTACCAGACCTTGGCCCTATAATTCCCCAGACCTTGCCCCTATACCCCTACCAGACCTGGCCCTATACCCCTCTACCAGACCTTGGGCCTATACCCCACCAGACCTTGGCCCTATACCCCACAGACCTTGGCCCTATACCTCTACCAGACCTTGGCCCTATAATTCTCTACCAGACCTTGGCCCTATACCCTCTACCAGACCTTGGGCCCTATACCCCCCACCAGACCTGGCCTATACCCCCTACTGACCTGGCCCATATCTACAGACCTGGCCCTATACCCTCTACTGACCTTGGCCCTATACCCCTTACCAGACCTATACCCACGACCTTGGCCCTATACCCCTCCAGACCTTGGCCCTATACCCCTCTACCAGACCTTGGCCCTATACCCCTCTACCAGACCTGGCCCTATACTCCCCTTACCAGACCTTGGGCCTATAATTTCTACCAGACCTTGGCCCTATACCCCCTACCAGACCTTGCCCTATACCCCTACCAGACCTTGGCCCTATACCCTCTACCGGACCTTGGCCCTATAACTCCCCACCAGACCTTGGCCCTATACCCTCTACCGGACCTTGGCCCTATACCCTCTCAACAGACCTGGCCCTATACCCCCTTACCAGACCTTGGCCCTATACCCTCACTGCCCATCCTACCACCTTGGCCCTATACCCTACCAGACCTTGGCTCTATACCCCTCTACCAGACCTTGGCCCTATAATCCTCTACCAGGCCTTGGCTCTATACCCCTCTACCAGACCTTGGCCCTATACCCTACCAGACCTTGGCCCTCTACCAGACCTTGGCCTATACCCCCACCAGACCTTGGCCCTATACCCCTACCAGACTCCGTCCCTATACTCTCTACCAGACCTTGCCCTATACCCCTACCAGACCTTGGCTCTATACTTACCAGACCTGGCTCTATAATTCCACCAGACCTTGGCCCTATACCCCCACTCAGACCTTGGCCCTATACCCCTACCAGACCTTGGCCCTATACCCCTCTACCAGACCTTGGCTCTATACCTCTACCAGACCTTGGCCCTATACCCCTCTACCAGACCTTGGCCCTATAACCTCTACCAGACCTTGGCCCTATACCCTCTACCAGACCTTGGCCCTATACCCCTCCAGACCTGGCCCTATACCCCTCTACCAGACCTTGGCCCTATACCTCTCACCAGACCTTGGCCCTATACCCCTCTACCAGACCTGGGCCTATACCTCTACCAGACCTTGGCCCTATACCCCTCTACCAGACCTTGGCCCTATACCCCTCTACCAGACCTTGGCCCTATACCCCTCTACCAGACCTTGGCCCTATACCCCTCTACCAGACCTTGGCCCTATACGAACAAGGTGTCCCAGAAATAATTACTGGTTGTGATTATTTACCTACATCACAAATACAAATAAAATTATATAAATGTGTACAGAGAGTTATGTAGTAATATACTTTTTAACTGTCGATGACTAGTGTACGTAAGAGGCGTTGAAGCGTAGTGATACATCCTCCAATGATGCCTACTCTGACGTAATAAGTAATGGCTGAGTATAAGGACAAAATATAAGAAATTGCATGAAAACAATTAAGTACAATAAAATCTATGGGTTTTTTCTTCTCTTTACAAATATCAATAAACAACGGGTTTAGGTGATTGTTTTCATAATTTTTTGGGGGTAGCCTGAAAATCCCCCTTACTGCACTTAAGAACCCTAACAATGACCTTTTGCCTAACCTAACCTAACCCTCAAAGTAGCATTAAATTGGTTAATCTTCGGGTAAAATATGCTGGGAACAGGGGGGATTTTCAGGCAATTCAATGTTTATATAAAGAAACACTCAACATGCACATTTAAACACACTTTAATACGGCTATATCTGGCTTGACGGGCGCCACCATGTTGACCTTCACGCGCTGAGATATTGCAAGATTATGCTCATGATGGCGTCACTAAAATTAATTCCAGCGAGGCAATAGAGACGAAGCAATTACTATATGCAACATTTCTAAGTCTAACCTGAACACTGTGTAACGAGGCTCCGACCTATAGAAGCACGAGTGGTTGTGATGCTATCGACTAATGAACAGCGGTATCACTCAAATACTAATCCGTGTCTGCTGTCTGGGATAAAAATACTCTTGATGTTATGAATCTTGATGTTTAGTGTATTTACTAACCTAGAACACGAGCTTAAAGTCCCCCAAAGTGTTGAAGCTCACATCATAACATCAACAAGATAACAAACAGTAACTTCGGACAATGATAACATTCACTGCATTACGTATCATTACAACTTGATACATGTTATAAAGATTTCTCGTGTGCCATTTCAGCAGTTTTTAGCGAGGAAGAAAAGCTTGATGTGAGTGTTATAGGATCAACTGAACAACTTGTAAATATTGTTATTACTCTGATGTCACTGTATAGGCCTGGGGTCTCGTGGACTATATAGGCTTACGGATATATTTTAAAGCTTTATTTCTACATAATATCAACTACGTTTTGTGAATATTTTACAGAGAGTTAAAGAGCCAAAAGTTTTCATCAGTGCAGGACACACTGGTGGCGAATCGAAAGTCATCTACGTGTTTTCTTGTTGTGTATAGACCCAACTTTTCATCACAAATTTTGACACTATGAATACATTGTTTTTATTTAGAGTATATATGTAATGTGTAAATTATATATAGAAGATCTAATACACGATAATAATACACCAGTATGTGTGTGTGTGTGTGTGTGTGTGTGTGTGTGAAAGGGCGGACACTGGCATCTAACGCGTGCTGGTCACCCTCCTCCTCCTGCTCCTCCTCCTTCAGGGTTTAGTAGCGTCAACCAGTTCAGATTATTATCAACACAGTCGGTAACCTAATAAACCCCCCCCCCCCTTTTACATCAGTCGTTCTAATTGCCAGTTCTTAAAGCAGATTATCATGACGGGCACTCCTTAGCAACTGTGTCTAAGCCTGGTTATACTACACCCACCCCCACCCCCCACCAGCGTCAACAAAACAATCACACGTAAATGGCGAGGTAAAACGAATCAGATTTAACGGGACTTTATTATCAAATGAGATGTTTAAATATCAGGTATACCGAACAGACTAATTTATTACTAACCGTGTAAGTGTATAAGACCTGGATGCCTTTACGTCACCCCCTGTAGTTGGTATACTTCTCTAAACTCGGTTATTATCAAGGTAGAACACCATGGTGATATGGTCATCCTAATACGAGTGATGTGTTGTACTGTACACATCTAACCTGTCTAACATCACCCTCCTGACGGTAATACTCCCTTCGTCAGCAGATGTTAACTCGTCTTAATAAACAGTATATCATTTTATTTACACTCCTGTTATGTCAGGTGCTTATGTGAGATCTTAAAAAATAATTATGTCATATAAAATAAAAAAAAATATAAGCGTCAGGAGATTATATTTAGATATGTAAAGAGAGCGAGTATGGTGGCCTAATTTAGCGTCATGACATCAGCTGTGGCAGAGGTGTGGGAGGTGGTGGTGGCTCTTATGTCTCTCTCTCACTGAGGCTCACACACACACACACACACACACACACACACACATACATACATACATACATACATACATACATACATACATACACCTTACTATATCCAATTCTTTACATTCAGACGATACACAACACATGCTTTTGTATTCAAGGGTCAAAATATCTCCTAATTAAGAGATATACATGAACAAACGTGTAAACATAATACCAGGGTGTCGATAAAATCCGTGTGCAGTTTAAAATGATATTAACTTCATTTCTATAGAAGATAAAAACAATCTGTAAACTGCAATAAAAAGAACATTTATTCAAGTTTTAAAAATTTTAATCTTAGGATTTTAATTTTTCACTATATCCACCATCATTAAGAATACAAATCATAATACGATTTTGAAACCATTTCGTATAGTGTTGGGTTGAATATCGAGAAAAAAAAATTAAGAAGTAAATTAGAATAAATAAATTACTTTATTCCTGTTAAAACTTAAATAAATTACCTCTGGTTAGTGTTAGGTTAGGTTAGGTTAGGTTAGTGTTAGGTTAGGTTAGGTTAGGTTAGTGTGTCCCCAGCCTAAGTAAAGGACCCTACTGGAAATAAACATCTGATGGTTTTGGTGGTTGTCCTTAGTGGAATAGCCTTACTGTTTACCATTGTTTGTATCAACTTGCATTGTCTATATAAATACATACATACTGAATCGATATGTATACTTGTATGACGACTTTAGTGAATATCTATGTATACTTGTATGACGACTTTAGTGAATATCTATCTATCTATCTATCTATCTATCAATAATATAACTGTATGAAAGCTGAAGCCGTTTCGAGGAGCAGCAGCAGCCAAGAACTGTTAGATGGGGTGAGGGGGAGAGAGTGGGGGAGGGAGGGAGGGAGGTGGGGGAGGAGAAGGTGGGGGGAGGAGAAGGTGGGGGATGTGGAGGAGGGGGTGAGATAAGACCTTGCCCCTCGTAACATTATGAAAACTTACAACGAAAACCCATAAAAACTGAGCCACTTACGAGGATTTAAAATACGCATGACAATCTGAAAGCTAATAAATACATAGTGTTTGATAGATCCTAATGAAGGATTACGTTGATTAAAAGAATACATAAATTCTTCCCTCCAGGTCGACAGTTTATAAGGTCATGGAATGTTGAAAACCCTTACTGGTGAAGTTGTTCTGTTGGCTTAATTCGTACTGTACCTGTGGCGTGTAGGTGTGTGTGTGTGTGTGTGTGTGTGTGTGTGTGTGTGTGTGTGTGTGTGTGTGTGTGTGTGTTGGTGTGCTGGGAACTGGGTGTGTGCATAGGTCTGTAGGCGTGTGTGTAAGGATGTAAAGTGTGAGCGTAGGTGTGGGCGTCAGTGTGTAGGTGTGGGCGTCAGTGTGTAGGTGTGGGCGTCAGTATGTAGGTGTGGGCGTCAGTGTGTAGGGGTGTGGGCGTCGGTGTGTAGGTGTGGGCGTCAGTGTGTAGGTATAGGCGTCAGTGTGTAGGTGTGGGCGTCAGTGTGTGGAATTGTGGGCGTCAGTGTGTAGGTGTGGGCGTCAGTGTGTAGGTGTGGGCGTCCAGTGTGTAGGTGTGGGCGTCCAGTGTGTAGGTGTGGGCGTCAGTGTGTAGGTGTGGGCGTCGGTGTGTAGGTGTGGGCGTCAGTGTGTAGGTGTGTGGGAGTCAGTGTGTAGGTGTGGGCGTCAGTGTGTAGGTGTGGGCGTCAGTGTGTAGGTGTGGGCGTCAATGTGTAGGTGTGGGCGTCAGTGTGTAGGTGTGGGCGTCGGTGTGTAGGTATGGGAGTCAGTGTGTAGGTGTGGGGGAGTCAGTGTGTAGGTGGCGGGCGTCAGTGTGTAGGTGTGAGCGCCGGTGTGTAGGTGTGGGCGTCAGTGTGTAGGTGTGGAGTCAGTGTGTAGGTGTGGGGAGTCAGTGTGTAGGTGTGGGCGTCAGTGTGTAGGTGTGGGAGCAGTGTGTAGGTGTGGGGCGTCCGGTGTGTAGATGTGGGCGTCAGTGTGGGTATGGGCGTCAGTGTGTAGAGGTGTGGGCGTCAGTGTAGGTGTGGGCGTCAGTGTGTAGGTGTGGGCGTCAGTGTGTAGGTGTGGGCGTCAGTGTGTAGGTGTGGGCGTCAGTGTGTAGGTGTGGGCGTCAGTGTGTAGGTATGGGCGTCAGTGTGTAGGTGTGGGCGTCA